CTTCTGCTCAGGGCATGATCCCGGGGTCCTGGGAACGAGTTCCGCATTGGACTCCTTGCTCAGCAGGGCGCCTGCTTCTCCCTCTGCCCCTCCCCACTGTTTGTGCCCCCCACCTCTCTCTGACAAATAAATAAGTAAAACCTTTAAAAAAAATAAAATAGGGCGCCTGGGTGGCTCAGTTGGTTAAGCGACTGCCTTCGGCTCAGGTCATGATCCTGGAGTCCTGGGATCGAGTCCCGCATCGGGCTCCCTGCTCAGCAGGGAGTCTGCTTCTCCCTCTGACCCTCTTCTCATTCTCTCTCTCAAATAAATAAAATCTTTTAAAAAAAATAAAATAAAATAAACTTTTCCACATCCACATCCATTTCTTCCCTGTAAATCTCAAAATATTTTTCTTGGGATGCCTGGGTGGCTCAGTCGGTTAAGAAAGAGTCTACCTTCTGCTCAGGTCATGATCCCAGGGTCCTGGGATCAAGGCCCGCATCAGGCTCCCTGTCGGCGGGGAGCCTGCTTCTCCCTCTGTCTGTCGCTCCCCCCGCTTGGGCTCTCTCTCTGACAAATAAATAAAATATTTAAAAAATATATTTTTCTCTTCTGCTCGCACCTAATTCTTCCCGCTCCCCTCCCCCAGGACTCTGAAAGCTCTGCAACGCCTCCCTCCCTCTGCTACCCACCCCTTCCCCAGTCTGCAGCTTGCTCAAGTTTCTCCCATCCCCCAAAAACAAAACCTTCCTTAGACCCTGAATGCAACCTTCTTCAGGTCCTTTTCAAACAAGATCTAGGCACTTTCTGACTTCCCATTCACTCCTTGACGTACTGCAATCTGACTTCCAAGTCCTACTACCCTGGCCTATTATCCCCATAAAGTCACCCTGGGCTTCGTATTTGTTAGTGTTTCCTCACTGCACCCCTGCAGCGCCTGGCTCTGTGGTCGCTTCCCCCCACCTGCCCCAGCCCCACGCCAGGTGTGATTCTTTCCTAAATAATCTCCTCACTTACTAGATGTTACAATATGCCACAAGCCACACCCCACCCCAAACTCCAGGCCTTCCCTAGGGACTTCTTTCTGAGTCACCTATCTGTTGGTAACTACGAAATCTGCATGTCTAGCCCAGATTTCTCCCTCATTTCATACATGTACAATCAATAGCCTGTTACACATCTCTACCCATGTCCACAGAAACCTAGACATTCTGTTCAACAACCACTTCCTCCTCTTGGAGAATCTGCTCTCTACAACTCATACATCTAGACTGCTCTATTTGTACCAAAGATTCCAACCCCCATCCCAGACTCAGCTCATCAGGTGGGAAGCTGACCCAGACCAATCAGATTTCCTCTCCTGAGAAATGGAATTGAGATCCAACAATCTCAGTAGGGTACCTCAACTAGGAAATCATACACTGCCAAGGTCACATGCAAGTAAAAGAGAGAAAGCCAGTCAGCAGAAAGCCAAGAATGAAGGAGACAGCACAGCCCAACACCAAGAGTAACCACCTTAGTGCTGATGACTTGGTGTCTGGGTATGTTTCTGTCCTTACTTTCTTTGAGATACCATCATATTCTTCCCATACACTTTTTCCCCCTACTAAGCAATTTTCAGTGGATTTCTATACTTGTAATTGAATGGTCCCTAAGATATTCTTCTCTGCACTACAAGAAAGGAAAAGAAAAATACTACCCATTAACTATGTCATGCCACCGAGATGTATCCTGATTTCAGAAATATTAAAAAGTAGGAAACTGTGTAACTTAGAATCAGTGGAGTCCAGTATATACTTACTCCGTGTATACCCTTCCACTCACTTAGAATACCCTTCTTGTTTCCCACCAACCCTAATTTTATCCATCCTTCAAGACTAAGCCCCAACCAGCTCTACCCTTTCCTGGACCAGCCCTAACAGAAACCTAGAATGTAGTAACTATTCTCTACCATTATTTGACTTCTAATTGTTTAAGTCTTATCTCTCCAACAAGATTATAATGAGGGCATGGAAGTTTCCTTATTACGTTTCAGATGCTACACAGAGCCTTTACAAATAAACGTTAAAAATATTCATTTAATTTGGAAAAAGAAAAGATGTATTCAAAAGGTGGCAACATTCAGTTTTCCACCAAGCTCAAGAAAGGAGGAAAATTACAAATAATTTAATACATGAAGGAAAGACCCTTATAACCTTTTGCCTTTTAAATTAGGGGAAGGAATTACATTGTACCCAAAGAGAATTGAGGAAAATATGCATTTGTAGGTGCTCAACAATCTTGCCAGGAAACAAAATTAAAACTGTAACTACAATGAAACTACACCCCCACCAGAACTGCCAAAATTAAAGGACCGACAATAAGAAATGTTGAAGGAAGTGAGGCCACGGACAGCCTCAGACAATGCAGGTACGTGCACTAGAGCTAAGCTAAGTGTGTGCACAACCCAGCATATGAGCGGGTGTGCCCTCCAGAAGACACCATAAAAACAATGCATCGACTATGCTGTTTTCATACACTGCAACAAAACAAGGAGAATGAACTCCACCTCTCAGAATGCGGACCCCAAAACAGGAACAAACTGTATGTGACTCCATTAACATGAAGTTCAACAGACAAAACTAATGTACAGTTAACAGAGATCAAATAGCAATTATCTTTGGGAGAAGGAATATTGAATAGAAGGGAGCAGGAGGGAGCCTATGGAATGCTGGGAATGTTATTTGATCAGGGGGGTGGTCACAAGGGTGCAGTCATTCGTAAAAATCCTTCCAGCTGAACCTGCAGTTGATTTCTCACCCAGATTCCAGGCCAGAGCACCCATCCCCCAGCTGCTGTGTGTTAACTACTGTTGGCTCCTTAGTAGCTTCCCAGGATAACTGCCCTCAGCCAAGGGCCAGCAGTGTCACACTCCCACCCTCACCCCAAGGGCGGCCCGCAGCCAAAGACCAATTGATATGGGGGGGTGCAGACAGAATTACAAAATTCTAGCCCCCTTACCTCAAGAAAGGACAGTTCTGTGATGCCAGCCACGGTCCCGAGTTCTTGGTGGGATTGGGCTACAGCTAGACTCCAAGCAAGAAGACCCCTTTTCCCTGCCCTCTTCTCCCCCCCCCCAATTTCACTTGCACCAAGGTGACCTCCTCAAGCTCTTCTAGGGACATGACCCAAGGCACGTACAGTTAATGTTTAGTCTATACCTTAATCAAAAAGAAAAAAAAATTGTTTTGCACAGCTAAAAACAAGATGTGCAATCTCCCCCCGAGATTCTGATCAATAGATAAGAATTTCCTCAGACTTGAGTTGTGTTACTAGTTGAGAAAACAGCACCCAAGCAGGGCATGCAGGGGCACTCCTGTCTATGAGAGAAGTCACAAGAAGTGACATGGATTCCGAGGTGACGACCTGTCACCAGCTTGCTGTGTGCATGTGCAATCTCATTCACCTGCTCCCTAGATCTGCCCGGAGGTGCCCCAAGGCCTCTTCTACACTCCAAGGGCAGAAATACCTCTATCTCATTTGTAATTTTCATGACTACCCAAACCACTGAATGTTACCCATGCCAATCCTGCCATACCTACACAGTACCTAGTTTTAATACCTAGTTCTGCAGCCAGCTACCTTCAACCAATCACTATCATGCAAATCTCAAGGCCTGAAAATTATCGGCACAGTTCTCTCCCAACTCCCTACTGGGTTCCCTTCCTCTGCCCTAGGAAACCATCACTCACACACACACACCCCGATTTTTAAAAGGATGTTCCTACTTGGATTTGAGCACCCACCAAGGATTATATATCAACCCAGTTATTTAAGTGTAACCTACAGAATATACAAATAAAGAAGCAAAACAGAACATACAAAGCATTTAAAAGACATTTAAAAAAATTCTCTGGTAAACAATCAACTAACCAGATTCACTTAAACTTTTCAAACAAGTACGCAGACCACACTTTTATTTTTAACCTGATAACACCAAAGCAGACAGAAAAGGCACCCCTGAACCAGGACAGTGGAGAAGCGGTGGGAGACAAGTGAATGAAGCAACGCCAACCCTGAACTATTTATGAGCAACATCCCTGAATCAATAGATGCCAGTCATCAGAGAGGACACAGAGCGACTACAGCCGGTTCCCCCTTATCCTACACAACTAAAAGAATAATATAGGGCCAAGCCTAACAGAAAAACGGTCCTAGAGTCTCTCCAGCAATGTTTCCAGAAAGCTGGTGAAGAATAATCTAATAGCACACTGGATTCGAACACGTGGCCGATTATGAGTTCTGCCTCAATTTCAGAGATTGTTGACATTAACAAATACATCCGTTCACTTTCTACAACAGAAAATACTCCTTGGGCAGTATTCTAAGAGCAACCGCTATCAGAAGTCAAGGATGATAAAAGTATCTAGATCACGTCTGAAAAGAAACATGATGTCCTCAGCCCGAAATCGGAAAGGCTTCCACCTTCAGCATCCTTGCAGTTTCTGGAACGG